ATTTTCTCTTAACGATATCTATACATAATCTAGAGAAAATGTTGTGAGAATCAATGAAATGATCACCTGATGGGAAAAGCTTTAATAAGTAGACAAATTCTCTCTACTAATTCCATTTAGTAAGGGGAGTGCACGCGCGTGCTTCTTCCGTCTCGCGCCTTCAGTCACGTGCGTGGTCATTGTCGTGTCTCGGGCGTTTTCCTCGACGGACCGGGAAAAAAGAGAGACTGCTCGTAGTCTATGAAATGTATAGAGATCAGTCTGCAGAATTTGTATTTGGATATTAGGGCTTAAAGAGTTGAAGAAATGAGGAAGGGGAAGCCGGAGCATCTTTTTTTCTCCTTTTAACGCCTGCCAAGCAGGCTATGTGATATCAAGCGTAGACTACGAGCAGCCTCTTTCAGTTTTAGCCTGTCGAGGGAAAGGGCTGCCGCCCTTGTTTCTCGCGTTCCGCGGCTCGACGCTCTCGCGCGCATGCACTCCTTAAACTAAATCTGAAGAAAAAGAGAGACTGCTCACAGTCTAAGGAAAGCGCGGATATCTGATATTTTACTGCTCGCGTCAGTGTGCTCGGGACTGTGATTGCTGCAATGATGCCCTACCTCTACTTAGTTTAGTTTACCGCATTCCACTATTAAATAGTCTATCGACTTTTCAAATATAAAGAACTTTGTAGTGAGTTAATTTAATAGGCGGCGAGATGTGTTTTGTTGGCATAAGAATCACGGGTGCTAAAAACCGCCAAGCATGAAGGTGACACTGAAATTACGTTTTTAAAAACGCAACAAACAATAAGTCCAATTTGTTTGATTGAATCAGTGTCGCGTGAAATCAAAGAATTCTCATTATACACTTGAAGTTGTTTACACATGCTCAGTTTAAATAGTCTTTGTATCACACATGCCAAAATAATCTTATGATTAAAAACTATGGTTTATGGAATCGGGTTTAGGAAAGTTAAGCACGATAAAATTAATCCCGTGATGAATGACCTATCTTGGACCTTTGAAAGTTCGGTTTTGTTTTTTTTTGGCTACAAACTTTACATTTTTACTATATTAAAGCATTCCCCTTGTTGTTGTTTCCTCACATTTTTGCCCTTGATAATGTGCTGGTGCAAGACTTAAGTCCGGCCATTGTCTCGGTTGGGTTCAAATCCCAAGGATACAGTAAAGAATCTTTAGGCATACTTACATAACACAAAGGCCATAAAAATCTAGTCACTTTAATATTGACCCAGCTTGCAATAGAATACTATTCTGAAACAATACAGGGAATATTTTAAAGCAAAGAAGAGTTTTATTCTCTCAAAAAGCCTAGTTTATTGAAGCAACAGCTATGTTTTCACAAAATGTAAAAAAACAAAAAAAAA